ACTCATAGTTTTACTACAAAACGATGAGAATCCAATGAAGTAGGCTCAGTTGGAAGTAGCATTAGAAGAGACCTCACCTCATTCAACAGGTAATCTTTGTCTAGACTTGGAAGAGATTGAGTTATGGTTGTCTAGACTCTTGGTTTTCTTTCTCCTATTTCTTAATGCTGGGTTGAGCTGAAATTTGTAAAATATTAGGGGTCCATCTTGCAATAGACAAAAGTTGAAAGCCAACATTTGTCACCCAAAAGGTCAAAATAACCCTTAAACAGCAATTTCATTGTCAATTTGGTATAATTTTTGACTAGTGTAAGTGTTCGATAGGAATAAGCCTCAAATAAGGTGTCTAAGAGAAAAATTCGGATAAGCTTAGGGGGCTGCGTATGATTTTGGTCTTTTTAATAACTCTTCCTTTTCAGAAATTTGACACAAATAGATTTTTCAAAGCGATACTTCACTCGTACAAAAAGTTTCCACAAATTCTTGATCCTCTAATTTATTTTCCTAATTATGACAATATAAATGTAGACTGAATCCCATCGATCATGCGGATGGCGTATAATGATAAATCAGAAAGTTTCGCGCGCGCATATATATATGAAATTACCTGATAAAATAAAGTTTTCTTCAGTTACACATGGACATTGATTTTAGATTCTGATATTTCCACTTTTTCTGTAATTATTGGATTTCCAATCTTTGGGTTTGTCGCAAGAGTTTATATTGCTATAGAACTAGGTTTACCCTTCTCATGTTACCACAAAATTTAAGTTGACTTTTATTTATCTGGTGATACATAATTTTTAGCTTATTGGTAGAGCTGATGCGTCATATTTTACAGTTCAAGTTCGATTCTCACCACATTTCTTCCTTTACTCTCTTCCTTCTCGGGCCTCTCAAAAAGGAAAATAAAAGAAAAATTTAAACCACAAAAAAAAAGCCATGCATCAATTTGAAGCCCTTATACAAAAAATAAATGGATAATTGGAATGTGGAAAGCAGCTTCGTTTAATATTCGTATTCCTTCTTTTTCAATTTTTGTTTGCACTGCATTTTTACCGATGTGCAACGACAAACAATAACTACACTTTATTTCGAATAAATTGGAATCAACTATATAAATCTTCATAAATATTATAGTTTTAATATTTGTTTTTGTAGGAAAACAGAGTACTTTTGAGAGAATTTTTCTGTATTGTATTTCGTGTATTGCTTTGTACAGCACTATCCTTTATATACAAGAAAGAATGTGAAAAAAGAATCTTCCAGCTCACTAACTCCAGCTGTCCTATACATTATTGGCTGGTCTATAACTAATTTATATTCTCTACAAAACAAAATAAAAGAATAATACAACATTATCTATAACTTAGTATCCTGTTTCTAGAAGCTCCCAAGGTTCCTGAATATTTCTCAGTAGGGCCTTAATGTATAGAATCCTTTGGGCCTTATACGTGTAACTTTTGAGCCCAACTTTGATTTCACTTGGTTGCTGAAATTCCCCAACTCAGATGGCCCAATAGAACTTTTGCCTTTATCAAATATAGATAATAACGAAGAAGCCCTAACCTTGTTTTTATCGAACACTTTCCCTTTGTTGTCTGATACCTTGTTCATCTCATCACCCTCCCTCAAGTTGGAAGGGTGAGAATCAACGCCCAACTTGCCAATGATTTGTTGATATTGAATGCCAGTCAAGGGTTTAGTAAAAACATCGGCGACTTGAGAAGCAGAAGGAATGAAGTTCAGAGAAATGAGGCTGGCTAAGAACTGTTGACGGATAAAATGACAATCAAGCTCCACATGCTTGGTTCGCTCATGGAAGACGGGATTTTTGGCGATGTGGATGGATGCCTGACTGTCTGAGTGAAGGGAGACTGGAATTTATGGAGACACAGTAAGATCGGAAAGAAGACGAACAAGCCAATGATTTCTGCTACAACTCGTTGCATAGATCTATACTCTGCTTCAGCAGAGAAAAGGGAAATCAAAGGTTGCTTCTTTGATTTCCAAGAAATAGGGGAACCACCCAAAGAGATAAAATACCCACTGACGGAGCGACGTGAGTCTGGACAAGAGCCCCAGTAGGAGTCACAAAAAGCAACAAGCTTGAAGGAAGAATCTGCCCGAAAAAACAACCCAAGGCCTGAATTTGTGAGAAGATAACAAAGGCAGTGTAGGGTGGCATGAAAATGGGGCTGACAAGGAGCTTGCATATACTGGCTCAAATGTTGAATGGCAAAAGACAAATCTGGACGAGTATGGGTGAGGAAATTCAATTTACCTAAGAGTCGGCGATAGACAGTGGGATCGGGGAGTAAGTCACCAACATCAGCACGCAATTTCAAGGAAGGTTCAAGCGGAGAAGCAACAACCCTCTTATCAAGGCAGTCAAATTCAGAGAGCACCCCAAGGGTAAATTTTCTTTTTGTAACAATTAGACCATGTGATTCTCTAATGAGTTCCATCCCGAGAAAAAAATGTGCATGCCCCAAATCTTTAATTTTGAATTCTGAATTGAGAAACACCTTTAAGTTAGCTATTTCCAGTAGATCATCTCCTGTTAAGAGTATGTCGTCCACATAGACTGCAAGAATACAAACTCCCCTAGCAGTCTTCTTAAAAAATAGGGAGTAGTCATTTAGAGAATGTGAAAAACCCTTGAAACTCAGGGCTGCAGTGAGCTTGGCATACCACTGTCGTGAAGCTTGCTTCAGCCCATAGAGGGACTTCTTTAATTTGCAAACATGATGTGAAGTAGGGGCTGTCATACCTGCAAGGAATTGCATATAAACTTCTTCCTGCAAGTCACCATGAAGAAAAGCGTTTTAACATCTAATTGAAAAAGATCCCAATTCTTTTTGATAGCCACTGCCAAGAGACACCTCACAGTGGTCATTTTGACCACTGGAGAAAAAGTTTCGATGTAGTCAATCCCTTCTCTTTGGGTATCACCTCTAATGACTAAGCGAGCTTTAAACCTCTCAACAGTCCCATTAGCATTGTAATTGACCTTATAGACCCACTTGCAAGGCAAAGCCTTCTGTCCCCTAGGTAGTTCCACAACCTCCCAGGTTTGGTTGGCTTCCAACGCCTCAAACTCTTGTTCCATTGCCTCCTGCCAACAAGGTGTAAAGATGCCTGGGAAAAACTAGATGGTTCTTGAATGTGCAAAACTGAATTGAAAAGAGTCTGATTTGAGTGAGACAGAGCAGAAAATGGGTAAGTAGAAGGGGAAGGGGAGGATGCTAGACAAGTAGTAGTTAGATCAGTTAAATAAATAACATTGCGTATATAATCAGCCAAATATGGTGGGGGATTGGTAACTATGGTTGACTTTCTGAGTGGAAGTACAGGACTAGGGGAACTAGAGGAAGAAAGGGGGAAAATATGCCTGGAAGTAGAGCTGATGGACATAGGGGTGGAAGAGGAGGAAGAAGAGGGAGGAGCAAAAGAGGAGGGTGTGTGAGAGTGAGACAAGGAAATAGGAGAAGAGGGAAGATCAGAAGAGGAAAATGAAGGTGAAGTGTTAGAAGAGGAAAGTGGTTCACTAGAAAGAGCAGGTGGTAAAGGCATAGGAAAAATGTGAGAATCAGATGTCAGGGAGGAAAAGGGATAGATATCCTCATAAAACTTGACATCCCTAGAAACAAAAATCTTATGGGAGGTGAGATCTAGTAATTTATACCCCTTTTGATTAAAGGGATAACCAATGAAAACACACTTGGTGGCTCTAGGATCAAGCTTAGATCTTAGGTGAGTAAGGGTGGATGCATAACATAGACAACCAAAACATCTTAAAGAAGCATAAGAAGGCATTTTACCAAACAAAACTTCATAGGGAGATTTGAAAGCCAAAACTCTAGAAGGGAATCTATCGATGAGGTAAGTGGCAGTTCAAAGGCATTCCCCCCAGTAAGATACAAGTAAATGAGACTGAAAAAGAAGAGCCCTACAAGTTTCTAATAAATGTTTGTGCTTCCTCTCCACTATCCCATTTTGTTGTGGTGTCCCAACACAAGTGGTGTGGTGTATGATCCCATGGGTTGTGTAATATTCTGAACATGATAGGCTGGTCCCTAATTCCTTTGCATTGTTTGATCGGATGATTTTAACTTTGGTTTTGAATTGTCTTTCCACCATAGCAAGAAAACATTTGAGAATAGGAAAGGCATTGCTTTTGGTTTTGAGCAAATAGGTCCAGGTTCCTCTGCTGAAGTCATCTACTATTGTGAGAAAATATTTATATCCATCATGAGTGCTAGTTTTATATGGTCCCCATGCGTCTACATGAATAAGTTCAAAAACTGAAGTAGTGGAAATGCTGCTACTAGGAAAAGGCAGCTTGGCCTGCCTTGCTTTTGCACAAACATCACAGGCAAGATTGGAAAGAGATGACAAATGAAAGTTTGGTAGATTCTTCATACTAGTAAAAGGCAAATTCCCCAATCTTCTATGCCATAGGCTTACATTAGGAGTAAAATTAGACTTAGAAGCACTACTAGGAGAACTAGAATCTGCACTAGTGATACTGCTATTACAATTAGGCTTTGAAACTAGAACATCTGCAGAAACTGCATTAGGGAAATCTAAAAAGGAACTAGGCTTGAGTGGGGCTGTCTTGAGTAGATAGAGACCTTCCTTAACTTCACCAAGAACCACTGGCCTCTTCATTGAAGGGGCCTGCAATATTGCACCAAAGGAACCAAAAATTAGTAGACAATTTAACTGAATGGTGAACTTGTGAACTGAAAGAAGATTGAATCGAAAATCAGTCACAAAAAGAACATTATGAAGAACCAAATCTGACAAAACAATGACACTTCCTTTGTGAGTGACTTTAAGTCTTTGTGAGTTTGGCAGATTAACATACATTGCTGTAGTCAAGGGTGTTATATTTTTAAGTATAGACTTGTCATAGGTCATATGTTCTGATGCACCAGAATCAAGAATCCATGAGTGAAAAACAGTGTTACAAGAGAGTGAAAAAGTGTTAGGATCTAAAAGAGGTGTGATGATACAGCACAGTTGGCACAGACATTAGCATCAGAGATCTGACCACTTTGTTGTCCAACCTTGACCTCTTGGAGGAGCTGGAACAATTGAGAAAGCTGTTCCTGTGTGATCACATTCCCAGTAGAGGTATTCCCTAGATCTTGCACTGACTGAGTGTTGTTTGAATCAGATTCAACTGCTGAAGCATTGCTGTGTGCTGTAGCTTGAAAACGTTTGCCTTTGGTGAACTTGAAATCTGGTGGGAATCCAATCAACCTGTAACAATTTCCAACAACATGATTTGTCATTTTACAATAGGTACAATATTTTCCTCCTTTTTGTTTGTCAAAGTTTGGTTTGTATCTCCCTTCTGTGCCAGTGAACTTCTGGTTATTTGCAGGTTTTTGCCCTCCATTGAACTTCTGAGTTGAGACCATAAAAGCAGCTTCTGATGGATGTTGCACAGAAACATGTATTTCTCTTTGCTTCTCATCCTGGATTAGCAGAGAGTAGGCATGATGAACTGAAGGAAGAGGATCCATCATAAGTATGCTGCTCTTGACTCCTGAGTAAGCTTCATTGAGCCCCATCAAGAATTGTATTAATCTCCCATCCTGATGAGATTTCAAGGTCTTCACCTTTCCTCCACAGATGCATGTGCAGGAGCAATGATCAAAAGTGTTAAGTGCATCTAACTTATCCCAAATCTTTTTAACTTTAATGAAATAACCTGCTATATCTGATGCTCCCTGGACTGCATCCGAAAGTTCCTTTTGAAGTTGGTATAGTTGAGCTCCATTACATTGTCCAAATCTGGTCTCTAACTCCTTCCATATGTCTCTTGTAGTTTTGGAGTAGAGCACATATTCCGCAATGTCCTTTGATAGTGAGTTGAGTATTCATGAGATCACCATGTCATTGCATCAACTCCAAGCACTATACTGATTAGAACCAGCAGTTGGTGGAGTGAAAATTCCATCAATGAAGCCAAGTTTATTCTTGGCTGAAAGAGCTATGACTATAGCCCTACTCCACCCAGCATAACCCTTACCATTGAAGAGAGAATTGACCAGCACCATTCCTGGTGAATCAGAGGGGTGAAGATAGTAAGGATTAGAAGAATCCATCAAGGCAGAGGTTGCAGTAACAGTGGAGGTCTGATCGTCACTTCTAGGAGCCATTGAGAAGAAAATGACAGAAGAAAAATGAAAGGAAAGAGCACCTAAAGCTCTGATACCATGTAGGAAAACAAAGTATTTTTGAGAGAATTTTTCTGTATTGTATTTCGTGTATTGCTTTGTACAGCACTATCCTTTATATACAAGAAAGAATGTGAAAAAAGAATCTTCCAGCTCACTAACTAACTCCAGATGTCCTATACATCATTGGCTGGTCTATAACTAATTTATATTCCCTACAAAACAAAATAAAAGAATAATACAGCATTATCTATAACTTAGTATCCTGTTTCTAGAAGCTCCCAAGGTTCCTGAATATTTCTCAGTAGGGCCTTAATGTATAGAATCCTTTGGGCCTTATACGTGTAACTTTTGAGCCCAACTTTGATTTCACTTGGTTGCTGAAATTCCCCAACTCAGATGGCCCAATAGAACTTTTGCCTTTATCAAATATAGATAATAACGAAGAAGCCCTAACCTTGTTTTTATCGAACACTTTCCCTTTGTTGCCTGATACCTTGTTCATCTCATCAGTTTTTACATTGATTGTCAGAATACGAAAACCCTCTTCCTTTCCGAACTTGAAACCGGCAATGCGAATAAACTCACATAGAGGGAGTTACATTTGTCCCATCCAATGTGCAACAATAGAAAATAAAAGATGCTCAACATACATCTAAATTATGAACATATGAAAAGACTTTTTCTTCTTTCAAACGTAATATAATGACTCATTTTGCTTGGATTTAGAATGCATTGAATGAGAGCAAGTAGGAAAAGGATAAGGTGAAATAAGTTTCTTGGTCGTATACAGAGTCTTTTATTTCCTCGCTTTCCTGAGGTGTGTATTCTCTCTGTTCAAGTTGCTTTTGTCATTTGGAATTTCTAAAATCTTAATGCTACCCTGCACGTGGGCGGCCTCTATCATTAAATTGAAATTGTCAAAAGAATAAATCGCTCTAGTCACCTAAAGAAAGAAAAAAAATGGAATATTTATGTTAAAAGAAAAAAGAATAATAATTAAAAGAAAGCTAGATTATGAACGTTGATTTTCTTTTGATTAATTTTATTTTCAATTTGGGAGTGTGTTAGCCATGTAAGGGGGAAAAGAAAAACTAGATTGAAAACGATAGTTCTAGACTTCCAGTGGCCAAAACCACTGGTTTATGCCAATTATCAGTCAACTCTTTGGGCTCTTTTCTTTTTTTTTTTTTGGGTAAGTAATGACTTCACCTTTGCTCTATAATAAGTTGCCAGATTTTCTGCTTGAAATCATGGAGGTCATATATTGAATAGGAAGAAGACAAAATAAAAATATATGATATCGATCGCGAGACGTTTTTAATATTTAAGAAATCAATGAGACTCATCGAATTAAAATGAACAATATTTCATAAGTATAATAATTAGGCCATTGAAATGTGTTAGATAATAAAAACCAAAACTCAAATGTAGTATATTAGAGTCGGAATAATTTGAGAACGAAAATGATACTAGCAAGTAAAAATTTACGAAGTAGAAAATCACACCTTTACGTGATAAGCCCAGAAGCTTATTAATTAGAGTAAAAACATCAGGGTTAGAATTTAGAAATACTCTTTATGTCCTATTTTATGTTATATAGACATGAAAAGTAAGATGTTAATTTGGTCCTATACATTATATAAGTAGTGGTTGCAAAAACTTAAAAAAAAAAAAAAAAAAAAAAAGGTGACACGGGGGTTATTGGACCAGCCCGTGAACTGGTTCCCGCCCGGACCGTATTGGACCAGCCCGTGATGGGGAAGGGGGGGGGGGGGGGTTAGGGATAGGGAAAGGGAGGGCAGTGGCTGCAAATGCTGGTTTGGGTAGTTAAATGAATTTAATTTTTAAAAGTTAAATAAAGTAACACTACTAGTAAATATTGTTAAACATTTTGAGACATGTAAAAATTAACAAAGGTGACACAAGTTGGTATGGAAACGGTACCATAAAGAAGATAATCTGCAAATTACTCTGCATTATAAGCGCACATATTGTTAAATAGTTAGTGATGTCTTTCTTGGAGTAATTATATGCAAGTCCATTCAGAATTAGGCATGAGTTGTCCGATGAAGGCAGGGGCGGAGGTAGTGCATACTCGATTGATGCAAAAATTGACGCGGAATAAAAAATTATTAAAATTATAAAAATAGTAGATATGAATCCATAACTTTAAAAATATAATAGGTTTAATGCTAAATTTTTTAAAAATTGAACCCATAAGATTTAAATTCTGGATGCGCCTCTGAACGAAGGGTAAAAAGGATAACAACAAGGATAAATATCTTTAAAAAATATAATAGAAGGTAGAATTGAAGATACATAATTAATAAAGTCTAAAGCATATCGAGTACTTAAGAAGTTCAAGTATATACTTTATCTGGAAAAGTTGATCCCTACTGTCTTTGTATCAAGCTAACCTTTACTAGAAAGGGGCGAAAATTTAACCAAGTGTGACAACTGACAACCATTGTCACGTTGCTCTTTCTCCATCGTTAGCAAAAAATGATAAGCTAAAAATACACCTCTTTTTATTAGTGAAACATATTGGGCACATGCTCATGTTATCCAGCCAAAGGCTCAATGGCCTAATCCTATTCTCTTTTGGTTTCCAATCCTATTTGGAATTGGATACGGTTTATTCCTATTTTGAGTGGGTTTTGGCTTTAAGAGAAAGCATCACTCATGATCTATAAATAGAACAACCTTGGAGAATTATTCTATGCTCATTGATACAAGTCTTTGAAAGACTTAAGCACATAAGAGTGGGTTTTGAGAGAGCTTTCATCAAGAGAGAAGAGAGGAAAAAGTATTTGTTTTGCTGCAGATTTTTATTCTGACCAGCCAACTTCAAATCACATTTTCTGATTCGTTAACTGTTGGATCAGGCTGAAATTTTGACTGAGTGTTCATAACATCTTGGTCTCGGATTTGAACGGTGGAGATCGGATTTAAAGGCTCGTAGCATCTGATTTCGAGCCTCGAACAGCAGCTTCGTTTTGTGGATTATACTCTTTCTTCAATTGATTAGTTGTTGCTCTTGTTGCTATTGTTGCTCCGTGTTTGGCCCTTGTTGTATAGCCAATTTGGAGAACTTTTGTAACCCTCTTATTGTTATAGTGGAGCTTTTTGGATCAATGTGATCCCGTGGTTTTTACCTTCGATTTGAAGGGTTTTCCACGTTAAAATTTGGTGTTCTTTATCTTCTTTATTTTCGGATTTGCCTCTTCCTCGACATAACAGTGGTATCAGAGCCTTGGTTATTTATCCGGGTTATTACGGAATGGAGGCGAATATGAGTAAGATGATATGTTTAAATGGGAGAAATTATAATGTTTGGAGAAGCAAGATGAAAGACTTGTTGTTCGTGAAGAAGATGCATCTACCCGTTTTTTCAGCTCATAAACCCGAGAGTATATCCGACGAAGATTGGGATTTCGAGCACCAACAAGTATGTGGATATATACGGCAATGGGTTGAAGATAATGTTCGCAACCATATTGTGAACGAGATACATGCGAGATCATTGTGGGAAAAGCTAGAGACTCTTTATGCTTCAAAAATCGGGAACAACAAATTGTTTCTGCTAAAGCAATTGATGACCTTTAAATACAAGGAAGGCAGCCCTATCCTTGATCACATAAATGATTTTTAGGGCATCCTTGATCAGCTATCTGGAATGGGGGTTAATTTTGATGATGAGATACAAGGACTTTGGCTTCTTAAAACTCTGCCAGACTCTTGGGAAACTCTTCGTGTTTCTTTGACAAATTCAGCTCTTGGAGGTAAGGTGACCATGGAATATGCCAAGAGTGGTGTGTTGAACGAGGAAGTAAGGAGAAAATCGCAGGGTTCATCCTCACAAGCAGATATCTTGGTTACAGAAGACCGGGGGAGAGATAGAACAAGAGGCTCAAGGAATAGAGGTAAAAGTAGAAGTAAGTCAAGGTCCAAATACTATAATGTTACATGCAACCACTGTGACAAGAAAGGACACATCAAAAGGTTTTGCCGCAAGTTAAATCAAGACACTAGAGAAGGAAAGAAAGTTGAAAATAACGAGAACAATGTTGCTGCTATTGTTCAAGATAACCTTCTTTTTGCTTATCATGAAAACGTCATCAATTTGGTATCCCATGAGACGAGCTGGATAGTAGATTCTGGAGCTACCTCACATGTCACACCAAGAAAAGATTTTTTCTCATCTTATACTCATGTTGATTCTGGAGTGTTAAAGATAGGAATGCCAGTGATGTTAAGGTGTTTGGTGTTGGCACAGTTTGTTTAAAAACTAATAATGGTTCAACGTTAGTTCTTCAAGATGTGAAGCATGCTCCAGACTTTCCTTTCAATTTGATCTCCGCAGGAAGATTAGACGATGAAGGTTACCATAATGCTCTCTTTAACGGTCAATGGAAGCTCACCAAGGGCTCGTTAGTAGTGGCTCGAGGAGTCAAGTCTGGTCAATTATATGTGACACAAGGCTCTATTCTTAATGACTCGATAAATCTGGTGGAAAGTGATAGTTTGTCAGAATTGTGGCATCGAAGATTGAGTCATATGAGTGAGAGAGGGATTACGTGTTTGGCTAAGAAAAGTTTGCTTTATGGAGTAAAACAAGCAAAGGTGCAAAGGTGCATACATTGTTTAGCTGGCAAACAGAAAAGGTTTCCTTTCATAGCCATCCTCCCTCAAGAAAGCCCGATTTATTAGAGCTAGTACACTCTGATTTGTGTGGTCCTTTTAAAGTAAAGTCAAAAGGTGGTGCACTTTACTTTGTGACCTTCATTGATGATCATTCTCGTAAGCTCTGGGTGTATCCTTTGAAATCTAAAGATCAAGCACTTGGCGTGTTTAAGGAATTTCAGGCCTTAGCTGAGAATTTCAGACGGGGAAGAAATTAAAATGTATTCGCACTGACAATGGTGGTGAATATTGTGGTCCCTTTGATAACTATTGCAAGGAACAAGGAATTCGTCATC